ATATATATATATATATATTTATATATATATATATATATATATATAAAAATTTTTTTTTTCTCTTTACCAACATATATATATATATATATATATGTATAAATATATATATATATATATAATACATAATTATTATTTTTATTACGTAAATAAGTACATACGTTAATATGTAAATATATGTATAATAATTGTGATAATATTACGATAGCATATGCACTGCATGGTAATATTTATGTTATAATAAAATTCACATACACACACGCACGCGCACACACACACCATACACACACACACTCACTCGATCAACTTGACGCAATAGTAATTAATCTTCGTTTAGAGTCCAGAGACCCGGTAGTTTCCTGTAAGAACTAACTTCTATTCAAATTGGTCGATAATTTAAAAAAAAAATTGATAAACTTTTAAACAACCTTCACACTTCTGTCTGTTGGGTCACTGGTTGAATATCACCACATTTCAACTACTACAAAGTGCTAAAGATCGGGTTTTGGGGTGGTCGATGGTGGCCAATGTCTTGAAAGGATAAGGAACGAGAGAGAAAAAAGAAGAAACCTTAAAATGGTAAATAGGTACCTACTGCTATGCCGTAATCTACCACTAATATCTGGCTTCTTAGTCTTTTTCTTCCACCATTCATCCGTCTATTCATCCAAACTCTGCACTGGCTTTTTGTGTGCAAGAAATTATGTAGAAGACATCAAACTAATTTGTCTGTACATACGTGTGATTGTAAATATATCGGGAATGGTTTGAATTGATTAGATTCGTAAAATTTTTAAATAGATCGGTAAAGGTTTGAATTGATTAGATTCGTAAAAGTTGTAAATATGTCGGTAAAGATTTGAATTGATTAGATTCGTAAAATTTGTAAATATATCGATGAAGGTTTGAATTGATTAGATTCGTAAAAGTTGTAAATATGTCGGTAAAAATTGTAAGTTGATTAGATTCGTAAAATTTGTAAATAAATCGGTAAAGATTCTAAATTCGTAAAAACTGTAAATATATTGGTAATGATTGTAAGTTAATTAGATTCCTAAAATTTGTAAATGGAATAGTGAAACTAGGCCATTGAATGAAACTTTTTTCTAAGAGAAATGGATTCCTAGAGGGGTAGATTAGGCGATATGGTCCACCCAATCTATTGACTTGATGTGGATGTGTGTGAAGATGCAACGAGTATTCGTCGAGATGAAGATGCTTCTCATAAATAAGATGCTTCAGATAAGTAAGATTAGAAATTTCATAGATCCGACCGACATTTCCTATGAATAAATATATACTTCAACTCACTTGAACCGGAAACTAGAGCTACGAAAAACTATCATTATTGGATAAACTCGACCGTTTAAAACAGAGATAAATTTGGATGGAAGTCCTTCGTAACAACCCAAGTTGGTCATACAGTCATAGGTCATACAGTCACAGGTCATAGGTCATTTTATTTTCATTCTATGAGTGTCTGTGAGCTAGCAACAACGACGACAACACACACACACACGCAGTACACGTACACACACACACGAAAACACATACTGCATGTTATATGCGTAGATCTCTTTGCATTTGCTTCTAACGATTAGTTATTATTATTATTATTATTAGTAGTAGTTGTAGTAGCGGTAGTAGGAGTAGTAGTTGTAGTAGTAGTAGTAGTGTAGTAGCAGCAGCAGTAGTAGTAGTAGTAGCAGCAATAGTAGTAGTAGTAGTTATAGTAGTAGTAGTAGTAGCGATAGTGGTAGTTATAGTAGTAGTAGTAGAAGAGATTGTAGTAGTAGTGGTAGTAGTAGTAGTAGTAGTAGTGGATGTGCCGTTACAACGTCTCATAAATATAAACATTTTTTCCCTATCCACAATTTAGACTACTGCTGCATCGGTCGTTCCAGGCAATAATGGATTACAGGATAAATGTTGCCAGCAGGCTGTCGGAATGTTTTAGAGAGGAGTGTTTCAGACTCCACCTACTGCTGCCCCCAGCACTACTATCATCACCGCTCTCTTCTGAAAATTATTATAGCAACAACAAGAATAATAATTATGATTATTATTATGATAATAATAATAATGATGATGATGATAAAAATGAAAATAGCAATATTGAAAATATGATTACTAATTCTGATACCACTACTACTACCACTACTTTTACTACTACCATCACAACTACTACTACTACAACTAACAACAACAATAATAATAATAACATTAATAATAATAATAATAGTGGTATAATTAGTTGCAAAGATACAAGTGATGATGTGTTCGCCAGAGTCGAAAGGCACATATACTTGGGGTTCAGTCTAGGTGGTGGATTTGAAATTATTAATATAAAATTATTAATGATAATTTATATTTTCATGTTTTTTATTATTGTTGTTATTATTGTTAGTAGTAATAGTATCGACAGTAAGAGTAGTAGTAGTGGTAGTAGAGTAATAGTAGTAGTAGTTGTAGTAGTAATGGTAGTAGTAGTAGTAGCAGCAGC